GGAGAGAAACAAAACAACAACCCAACTCACAACTTAGTATTTTGATTTCTGATTGATTTCTGAGCTGGACAGGATCCTCTAGCTATTTCGTCGAGTTGTGAGATGGGTTGGTGTAAGTGTATGTCTATGTGTATGTGTGTGTGTGTGTATGTTTGTGTTTGTGTTTGTGTTGTTTTGTTTTGTTTTGTTTTGGGTTATTGTGGACTGTGGGTGAGGTGCACACAGGATAATTAGTAGTAAAATGCTTAGACGTATAAATATGCTCTCCTAATTTTAGTATGTAATAATCACATTGACTGTCGCCGCCTTTGTCATCGTCATCGTCATCGATATTGTTATCGCTGTCGCCATTGTTTTACGGTAAAGCAACTGCTTCCGATATTTCTATAGATGTTTGCATTGTATATCGAATTCGGGAGCATGCGGACTACATGTGATGCCACTGCGTTACGGCCACATTCGCATTCTCGTTGAGACGGGCGATCTCCTCGTGCAGATTGTGCCCCAGCCACTGTAGAAAGATGCGATCGTATGCCGCCTTGCATAGCCGTAGCGGATTGCCGCGTCTCAGGCCCTGATCCGTCTCGCCGTACTCGTCCAGATACGGCGGCTGCACAAAGCAGCCCTTGCCGCGCCCCAGATAGACCACCTGACAGTCGCGTATGCGCAAGAAGATGCCCACCTCGGCGCCGCATTCGTGGGCATGGTGGGTGCAGGCGCCCACCTGCTTCTCGCCCAGCTCCGGCTGGCAGCAGAACGACTGGCCGCACAGTATGGCGCCGCATATTAGGCACATGGTCGGCGTCTTCATCTCCTCACGCTCGTTGTTCGGACAGTAGATGTCCGAAACGCTGTTGATTAGATCGCTGTAATCGTCGAAGAGCTCCATCAGCTCCGGCAATGGCCGCAGGCATGGCATTATATTTATCTCATCCGGATCTTCAGGCGGCAGCATATACGACACCGACGTGTCGGGCGGCGCACGCTTGGCGGCGAGACGTTTGCCGACTTCGCGCTTAATGTGCGGATGCGAGGCAAAGCTCTGCATTAGGGTGGCGTACACCGACTCCATGTCGAAGTAGACGCCCAGCTCGGCGTCCATGCCCAAGTACTGGCACATCAGGCCAAAGCGATCTGGCTGGCTAGTGGGGAAGCAGTCCGGATATTCGACATCGGTGATGTAACGGTAAAATAGGCAGGCGCTGCGCAGGAACGAGCCCATCTGGCGCTTAACATACGCCAAAAGTCGGGCCAAATGCTGAGCCGTGCAGTCCGGCGACTCAACGCCCTCCTCCCCCAAGCCCACTTCCATTTCCTCGAACTCCTCGCTCAGCTGCTCGTTCCGCATCAGCTGGTTGACGCGATATGCCAAATTGTGCTTCATGTAGAAGCTGGCCATGTTGTGCCGGATCTTGCACGGCAGCTCCTCCACGTACTGCAGCATCGCCGCAATTTGCGCCTCATCGTCCCCTTGTGGAGGACGTTCCAGATCATTTTCGTAGTCAAAGCAAACGATCGCCTTTGTCACGTTGGCCAGGAAACACGCCTGCAGCAAGTAAAAGTCGATCATGCTGCCGCTTGGCAATATCTTCTTGTCGGCTGAGAGTTGAGAGTGAGAGAGAGAGAGAGAGAGAGAGAGAAATATAGATAGAGTAAGAGGGGAGATTCCATATTACAATTGATTCACTTACCGTCTGTAGCAATCAATAGATTGGGCATGGCAAATGTGAGGTGCACCAGCTTGCGGAAGCAGTCCCACTCCAGGACACATGATTCTTTCTGGTCGAACACCTCCTCGTAGAGTTTGGCCGCATACTCGCTCTGCTCGCTGATTTGGTTCTCATTCAGTTTGGTCGAGTAGAGGGCGCAGGCGCGCACCAAATTGCTGACGCAGCTCTGGTGGCGCATGGGCAGCTCGGCGTTCAGCGGCTTCTGCGTGATGTAGAGGTAGACCTCGAGTGCCTGCAGTGTGTAGCAGCAGGCGTCCCAGAGCACGGTGACTTTCTCCATCTGCAGCTCACTTATAGTTATCATGTACTTGGGCAGACTGCCCTGCATTTGGCTGTGCTTGGCGTTGCGCAGCGCCGAATGGAAGGAGCTCATCACGTCGATGTATTCCTTGTCCAACTTGGGCGTTTTTATGATCTGCGCACTGCGCTCGAATTGGGCCATGTTGCCGATGAGGCTCTCGTACTTCTGTACCACTCGCGGGCTGCCCTCCACCCTCAGGCTGCTCAGCGCGCGCATCAGCTCCACAAAGCTGTCCAACGGCATATAGCTGTCGACAGCGTCGCTCATGGCCTGGGACGTCGCCTGGGGCTGCGAGAACTTGGAGAGCGGCTCGCTGACTGGCAGCACCGCGTTGCTCAGCGTGCGGCAGTAGGGGCAATGGAACTCTACGTTCTGGTGCTGGTTCTGCGCCCGATTGCGTTGCGGCCGACGCTGCTCCTTGGACTCCTCGCTGCTGTAGTACTCCTTCCAGCAATTGTAGTGCATAACATGCCCGCAGCAGCTCACATGCAGGCCCGATCTCGTGTCTGTGGGCATGCGAGTCGTGTAGACGACGCGCGACGTCTGCACGAATGCAGAGCTGACCAGCGGCTGGTCGTTGCCGCTGGTGCTGCAGTTCTCGAAGCAGAGGATGCACTTGAAGCTGTTGTTGGCCGCCTCGGTGAAGCAGCGCCGTGCGCCCAGGCAGGACACAATCTTGCTCGGATCTGGCATCACAGCGGCAGCGCCTTCCTCATCTTTCGGCTCCGGTATATCCTCCCAGTCCATCATCGAGCCACCCTGCTTCGTAGCAGCACCTGCAGTGCCCTCTTCACCGGCATTGGCGAACAGTTCAGCATTTGATTTCATGAACGACTTTTGTGCGTTCTGCATTTGGGCCATGATCTTGGCACGGTGCTCAGCGGCCAAGCGCGAACGAGCCTCCTTCTCGGGGCGAGCCTGCTGCTCGGAGGTGAGCTGCTGCTCCTCCCCCTGCAGCGGCGGCTGTGTGCTGCTGCCCGAGCCAGCGGCTGCTGCCGAGGAGTCCACACTTGGCGACTGCTTGGCCTGCAGATCCTTGTAGCGCTTAATGGTCCACAGCACAAAGTCACGATGTGCCTCCAGCTAAAAGTGATTAATATTAGGCGCTGTACAGTGAAACATGGCTATGTCCAACACTTACGCGTGGACAGCGTGCCAACTTCTCCAGTTTATCGAGCAGTTCGTGCTTCTGCGAGCGCTCATAGAAGCTGAGGAATGGGTAATATCCACTGAGCTCCTCCTGTATGGCAAATCCAATCAGATGCAGCACCTGCGAAGACAGAAGGAAGCGGCGTCAGCCAGTCCATCCATTATCAATTCCATTCCCAGCTCTTACCTTTTGCAAATGGCTCTCGGTGAAGGAGCGACTGCGTGGGTCCAGCGCTCGATCTATGACCACTGTGATGATGGCAAAGAACACATTGCACTGCAGGATGTTGGCCATGGAGCTGTGGGAAGTGGAACCGATTAGCAATCAAATAGCATTAACGCATTCGTTCAGCTGGTCTCCACTTACATGAAGGCCATCGTCAGCTGAGGCAACATTGGCGGCGGGCAGCAGACGAGCTGCTTCTTGAGCTTGCGGCGCTCGCGCTGCAGTTCCTCGGCCTTGGACTTGTCCTCCTTGGTGTAGTGGTAGAAGTACACATTGAACTCCTCGTAGAAGGGCTCCTTCAGCTCATAGACGCCCTTGCCGTCGGCGCCGACGGGCTTCTTGAAGGAGGCCACCGTATTGATGACGTCCTCAATGATGCTGTCGTTGCTGCCGCCGTTGCCGTCGGGCAGAGCGCGCGAGAGCTCCGAGTGCGAGTAGGATTTGATGCAGAGCAGCTGTATGATCTCCTTGCGCAGGCGATCCTCCTCGGAGACGAGCGAGACGCCCGGCATCCAGCGCTCGCCAATGATAACAATCAACAGCTCGAGGAACTCATCGGTCATGGACAGCTGGCGCATAAACTCATCGTCCATCGGCGCCTGCTGCAGGCTAGCCTCGTAGTTGCTTTGAGCCCAGGCGATCATGTTGAATTTGTTCAGCAAGTGAATCAGGAACTCGTTGCTCTCCATTAGCGAGGCGCCAATCTGCAGGCAGACGATGTCTCTGTCCAGCATCTCGACGCGGCAACGCACGTTCCTATAGAAATACAGCTGATGGAGCAACGAATAGCCATTGCGTCGCCACATGCCGGCGGCCACCTGGGCAATCATCGCCTGTGTGCAGAGCACCGGCTCGATAATCTCGCGGGGCGTCAGCTTAATGTTGAGCGCCTCCGCCTCGGCCAGCAGGATGTCATAGGTCAGGTCGTGCGCTCCCAGGTGCAGGTAGATGCCAGCATAGAAGCGCGACAACGGCAAGTGTATGGAAACGGGGCGCGAGGAGACGTCATATATCAGGCAGTTGGCCACATGATCGGCGACGGTCTTCGGCTCCACCTTCTCGTTGCCCACAATGAAGCTGTTGTTCACCAGGGCGCGCACCGTCATCTTGTAGAGTTTGCGCAGCAGCTTCACATCGCTGGCCGCCCACTCGATCACCTGGGATATGGTCGAGGCCAGCTTAATGTGCAAGTTGAAAGCGCACTCCCACTCCGGCTCGTAGTCCATGTGCTGGCCCATTTGCCGGGTTATCGATTCCATGCCCTGCATCACATTTAGGACGCGCATCAATGCCTTGCAGCCTGAACAAATAAAGAGCAGCAATTAATAAACTTGCCCATTAACTGTTTGGGATTTGGTAACAATCTGGCTGAATCGCATGGATTAGAGCGAGACAGAGTGTGTGTGTGTGTGTGTGAGCGAGAGGGGGATCGGACTCGCAGTGAAAAGGGATACTAACCGTCAAGGAAGCCATTGCGCAGCTCATTGCTAAGCACTTCTGGCTTCAGGCTGAGCAGATAGCGCAAGTCGTACAATATGTAGTTGGCACGCTTGAAGAAGGTCATGCTCGCGATGTTCTTGCTGAAGTGGAGCGTGCGATTGTGAATGAAGTTCTCGATGGCGACGTGATAGAACGTGTGCAGCAGCTTGTCGAAGATGCCCTCGTGGGCGATCAGATGGTGGGCAATGCTGGGCACGGTGAACAGCTGGACGCTGAGCGACACAATCGAGAAGGAGTGATCGTGATCGTCGCTAATGAAGTCCTCCACAATGGTCGCATAGCGGCGCGAGAACTCCTGGGCCAGCACCATCTTGTTCTCGTACTCCATCAGCATGCCGGAGATGAGCAGACGATGCCAGCAGGTGCGCGCCGTCTTCCACAGCTTCACATCGTACTCGAGAATGTGGCGGATGCAGAACGGTTCGTTCTTCTGCTGCACCAGCGTGGCGAACGTCTTCCGGAATAGATAGTGACGCACCAGGAACTCCTGGAACCAGCTGAGCAGCTGCAGCGCGAATTGCTGGCACGCCACCGAGCTTATATTCAGCACGGACGTGCGCAGCGATTGGCTGTGCCGGGCATTGGTCAGCAGGCCGCTGGGCGGTATATTTTGGGTCTCAATGGCCGTCTTCAGGTCGTTGCATTTCTTGAACGTGTCACACTTGACAACGGCGCGGCCCTCCCGGTCGATGGCCGCAACGATCTCCATGGCATCCTTCTGACGGCACTTGGCTATCTTTGTCAGCGTGTTTATGACCTGGTCGAAGGTGTGCGACTCGTCGTTGTACAGAACCGTGCAGAAGTTGTTGCCGTCCAGCTCGCCGTCCAGGCACTGCAGACTGGCATTCGGCTCGATCTCCAGGTAGTTGACACAGAAGGCCAAAATGGCGCTGAAGCAGATTTCGACTCGCTCCAGCACGGCACTGGTTATGATTTTGCTCTCGAGCGGATTCTTGCGATTCGCCTGCGAAGCAAAGCGAAGCGAGGAGACAGCGTTAGAGATAAATGCATAAAGGGTATGAATTGGTATGGATGGACTCACCAGATGCAGCTCACAGTATTGATCACGCTTCCAGGCCTCGTCGTCGCCGCAATCGCAGCAGCCGCCTCCGCCGGAACTGGACATTTTGTACCTGTGAAAGCGATGCGCCGATCGCTTAAAGCAATTCACGCACAGCACACAGGTCGGATCGACGCCGCACTCGCGGCAGCTATAGGTGGGCTCGCCATTCTTGAACACCTTGCCGCACACGGTGGCCGTGTTGCCCTCCAGGCGGAGCTTCTCGAGCGCCGTCTTCGGATTGTCGCCCAGCATGAACTCGACCAGCTTGTTGATGATCTCCTCGTTGGCCAGCTCCTCCTTGAACATGCATTTCACTGTAATGGAGGCGGGTCCAGAGACCGTAGACAGTTAATTTCAAAGCGATCAGACGCTCCGTGGAGCGAGATACGAAACAAAGAGAAAAGCAACTACAACTACAACTACAGCAATCTCGGTTCATCTTTAAACTTGCGAGTGATAGCGGATGAAGAGGACCCCGTCTCAAGGGCGCTGTCAACTTACAGGACCCGCAAGTCACGGCATGCTTGCACTCCTGCAAGCGCTTGATCTCTTGCAGGAGCTTCGAGGTCTTGGCGCTCAATTGAACTTGCTCTTCGAGGGGCATATAATCTGAGTACATGGCGCTATCTTCATCTGACTCATACATTGCTTCGTCTGTGCTTGGCCGGAAAGTAAGTACGAGTTCGTGGATTGGGGGAGAGGATATGTTAATGTGAGGACACTGAATTTCAAGCAAGTGATTGTTCGACTCGTGTGGGGCTAAGCGGTTTGGTCAGTGGGTCCGTCTAATGATCGCTTTACATGTTGTTCAATGTTTGGTTAGTGTAATAATTTATTGTTATTTTTTTTCGTGTCAATATGCAGGATAAAGTTTAAAGAACAAATACTCACAAGTTGCTGCATTTGTATCTAAAAAAAAGTAAAGAGAAGAGAAGAAGAGAGAGAAAACACACAAAAATAATAGATACGGAAATAAAACCAAATCAAATTCAAATACATATATAAATATATAGTGAGAGAGGCTAATAAGTTGTTGTAGATAGACTCTATAGGCACACTCGAACTCTCCCACTGGAGAATCGTCACATCACACGCCATATCCACCACAAGCGTGCCACACATACAACACAGCAGGATCATCCATTCCACACAATCGACACCCCGCCTGTCTGACTCATATGCAAATAGTCGTTGATATTGCATGAAAAGCCAAATGATATTCCATGAACACATATGCTATACCATGCATTCTTGAGCGCAGACCCCACCATTGCTTATAATAAGCAAGCCACCTTCGTTATCGGTTCTTGCGAGAAATTGAAACCGAGACGTGGATTGAAATCGCTTTGACTTATGCTCAAATGCATAAAAATTACAGGGAAACAGTGAATTATAATTAATTAAAAAACACATCAGCAAAAAATAGAAGCAGAAACAGAAATAGAAAACAGAAGCGGACGCTGACGCCGACGCCGACGCCGACGCTGCCGCTGAAACATCAACATCTGCAGCGTATGTGGCGTATGAGTAATGCACTTGGTCACTGATTTTGGCTCAGAGTTGATTCGAGTGCATGCAAACAAATAAATGAGTAAATGAAATGCAAAGAGCAACAACAACAAAACTGGTTAGTCAATGTGGCTAAGGCAATAAACAATTAGTTGACATTTGTACAAGAGCCAAACCCACACACAAAAGCAATGAAAATCAGAAGCCAAATTAATAAATGATTCGACTGCAAAGATCTACGACACAGAGAGAGAGAGAGAGAGAGAGAACGGCCACAGACGGTCCGTCCCTGCCTCTCTCTCTCTCTCTCTCTCTCTCTTTCCGCACACCTGCAAGCGTATTTTCTATGAATCCGCAACCGCAGCCAGAGTAATCCAAAACTTCGGCTCAAAGCCAAACTAGCCAAACAGCGGGCTATTATTGACATCATTCAAACAAACAAGACGGGCAAGCAACAACAAATCATTTATGAGAGACAAGAAAATGAACCAAAAAAACCAACAAAAACAAAAACAGTACACTAACAATGAGTAAACCTTCGGCAAACGGGTTTTGAGGTAATCAAAAATGAAATCGAATCGCATTGAATTGAATCATATCGCATCGCATCGAAGCGTATGTTGCATTCACGTTGATATCGAATGCAAATGCAGTTCAAGGTCGTCTCATTACGAAAAAGTGCGAAAGAAAGTCGACAACAAAAGAAAGAGCCAAAAACCGAAGAGGGCTGCCGCAGACATTACCGCACAGCGATTAGTTTCATTCGTCTAGGGCTTGATAAGAGGCTGAGCTGGAGTGAGAGTGGGAGCGAGAGCGAGAGCGAGAGGGGGCTAAGGCAGCGTGCTTTCTCTCACACATGTATGGGCCCACAATCGCATCTGATGTTGCCAGAGGCTATCAGCAGCTGTGCTTTCGCAGCTACAACAATGTCTGCATTACGTTCACATACATTGTCAACAGTTACACAGAAATACGTATGTATATATATATATATATATAGCTGCAAATACATATATTCCCATGTATATATCTATGGCGCTACTGCCGCAAACAAATCCTAATGCTCGTTGGCCCACTTATTTTGGCCGTGACTATAAGTGCGTATACTCAAGTTTGTTGCTTTTGTTGCCATCGTTGTTGTTGTTGTTGCTGATTCTTATGGCGTTGCTGCCTTGGCAATTGCACGGAACACACCGAAACAAAAGCGTATTCCAGACGTTCCTTTGTTCCAGTTGCGCCTCAGCTGTTTGCGCATGACTCGGCCACGGTCTGCATTTAGTATAGTGATTCCTTTATTCCAGTTTCCAGTTGCACACACACACACACACCCACACACGTACACAGCAATGGCAATGGCAATGGGCTACAGTTATCTGTGACTTCTCTTCTTGCTCTTGTTCAACTTTTGCAACCATAATAAAATCGCTATGGCCAAATTCTATTCTTATCTGCAATTATCGCCGACCCATTTGTGCTGGCCACCACTGTACCGTAGTGTAAACACATAAAAACTGCGAGTGTGTGGCGCATCTTCGCTTATTCATGGCATTGCTCGAGCCCGCCCGCCCAGCAAGAGGAAATCGTTGGAAATTATCAGGGCRCTCCCAAAACAGAAAGAAAGAAATATCCATCCGCCTGATTTATGCATGCGCCGAGCGTGATCACCTACGGGACGGAATAAAGAGGTTCCCGAGAAAAGCGCAATCGGCCACGTCACCACGCCTCACCTCACCACAACACGGCGGACATTCGAATGGGGTCCAACGACAAGACGATGACGACGATGAATAAAATGATTGAGATTTAGATATATACAAATATATGTCGGTATATATCTTTATATATATCAGCATATAGTGATTAATACAAGACAGAAAATTGATCTTCTAGACGCATCGAGTAAATTCGCTTCATTCCAAAGTTTCTATAAACGATATTCGCAGTCAATGCAAGATAACGTACAGCTCATATCATCAGTTATTTATTATCTTCCTGTGAAACCCTACTATCACAACTGCCGCGTATTTGTATGCTGATAATGCCGTTAATTTCGCAGGTCAAAAACCCGCTGAGCTTTATACTAAATACAAAGCATGTTTAAGCGGTTAGCAAATATCCTTATATTTTTATTACGTATGGTATATAGCAAGGGGTTAAGTTGTGCTAAGCTTATAAATAAATATAAACGCATCTGAATTGGCTGGGCGAGTTATTTAATGTTTGTTAATTATAATGTTAGCTTGATTCATTATATCGACGATGGGAATATGTGGGAGACACAAAATTAATGGAAATTTCTGTTTCTGTTTAAGGAGGAGCTCATTTTAAATGGAACAACGCCAGGAGGGGATAATGAGAGACAGTTATGGATGCTATAAGAGCCCATAATGCAGCTTAAACTGTCTCAAATTTGATACGTAACTCATAGAACACAAGATATAGCTGGGAGATTAAATGGGAAGCTTCAACGATTGTCGTGCCCTAAAATGATTTATGGCATCATTCACAGAGATCGAGTGCAATAGGAATTAGACATTTGCTAGACTCCAATAGGAGCACTCGAATGAGATAAATTAATTCCTAATTGGACAACTTCCTCTTTTTAGCAAACAAATTCAACTAAATAAACGGCATCGACCATAAATTTATCCACTGTTTAATGTAGGTATTGAAATAATACTCGTTATAATGACTCGCAAAACTATGACTCAGTGCAGTGGATCTATTTCACTAGACGATGAATAAAAT